CTAAACATTTGAAACGACCAGGTCGGGGCAAAAAGGACAGTTTGTGGCTCCATCACCAGCATTCCCCTCCAGATCTTTGTCATTTTCCCAAACTGAAACTCTGTCCCCAGAGAGCCCTGACTCTATCCTGTCCCAGCCCCTTCTGGCTCGGTCTTGCAGCAGCCGGCCTTGTGTGACTGGCTTATCTCACTCAGCATAGCGTCTTTGTCAAGGTTCATCCATGCTGTAGCACAGTCAGAATTTCTATCCATCTGAAGATTTAATAATATCGCACACGCATGCACTCACACACACCCTGCTTATTCATTCCTGCGGGGACACTGTGGTTGCTGCCATCTTTTGGTTATTTTGAGTAGTGCAGCGGTGAACAGGGGTGCACAAATACCTGTTCCATCCTACTTTCAATTCCTTTGGGTATATATCCAGAATTAGGGTTGTTGGATCATATGGTAATGTTTTGCGAACTGCCAGGCACGTTGCTTTCTATAATGACTGCACGACCTGATATTCCCACAGCAGTGCACACAGAGGAGTGTTTGTGTATCTCCACGTTCCTGCTTCACTCTCTGTGTTTGGGCAGGCAGTTCCAGCAGGCAGTCCGAGGGAGTGTGGGGTGGCCTCTCACTGTGGAGTTGATTGACACCTCTCTGGTGATGAGTACAGTTGAGAATTCCTCATGCATTTCCAAAACCATCTTGAAGCACTACCTAGAGTTGCATTCCACCTATGGAGCAATATTGGGGACCTGGAGCCACATGCCTCCTTGGTTTCCCTTTCCATTCCTGTGGTCTCCTAGCTTGGACCAAGGTGGCTTCTGTCCCTTCCTGTGGTCCCTGCTCCATGAGGACTAACACTCCACTACTGACGCCCACAACTGCTCTCTTGGCTTGAGTATCCGAGGCCAGTGAGAGGGCACAGTCGATTGGGCCTCCAGGCAGAACCTAGACACCATCCCTGCCTCCCCCTTTCCTTGGAGGAAGTCAGGGTCCTGGCAGAAGGCACACAGAAAAAATGGGTCTAAAAAGGTCATTTACAAGGCTATGGCAAGCCAAGAGGAAGGGCAAGCCCTGGAGAAGGGGCTGGAGGAGCCCAGGTCCCAGATGAGCAGGTAAGAGCGGGCAAGTGGGCAGGCAAGGAGCCCAGGAAGAGGAGACTAGAGCATGGACTAGTCCCGGAAATTCCAAGCTCACTCGGAGGCTGGTGGGGGCGGGGTCGGCGATCAGCGCAGCAGGGGGGAGGTGGTCCGAGTGCCCAGCCCCTCCTCCTGTTCCAGCTACATCTGCCCCTGACCCCCCTGTTCTGGCTCAAGGTCTCTGGCTGACGCCAGGCCTCCTCCCTTCAAATCCCCCATCTACCCGAGTGTACGCCACAGCCTGTAAAGCCTCTACCTGAGTGGGTCTGGTCGACGTTAACCCTCTGGCGCCACACTGGCCTTGAGAAGGGGTCCAATCACCTGATCCAGGCTGCAGGGACGTCCCTGCCCCCGCTATCTGAGTCCCCGCGGCTCCCCCTGCTCTCAGGTGCGCCCGGCCTCAGGAGAGGGGTCTGGGCGGTGGGCACTGACGCGACCCGGCAGAACCCGGCCGGCC